GGGAATTCGGGCGTCACCCATGACGAGCCCAAGTTCCATACCCGGCGACTTCAACACACCGTCCGTTTTCTTCGAGGTGGAACGGAGGTACACCTGGTCATTCACTCGTCAACCGAAGAATGTGGCTGAGACCGCCGGCCTCTCAGAGGAAGCGGGTGATGCTACACTTTGAGGACCCAACGAGAAGGCTTCGCGACCGGACTACATACCGCAGAATGACGACTATCACATTGAGAGCATACTTGTTCAACTGCCTGTTTGCCTCAGCGACCATTTTGTTTTAATTTTCTTCATGATTACCGTGGAGGGTCAACAACAAGAGATACCCAACAACTTTTCTTGCTGCAGCGAGGCCACTGTGGGACCACTACTGGCTACCAATGAATGCATCATGACCTGTGGACTGGTCCGGTCTCACGATAGATGAACTCTGGACGCAGGTGAAGGAAGTAATCGCTGGGGTCGTCGACCTGAATGCTAGGAGTAACACACCGACCGTCAGCGAAAACGTCAAGGCTAAAGTGCAGGACAGAGAGGCTTTTTCGGGTCGAGAAGCGGGCTAGGTTTAACTAACGTTCATAACGCACGGAGCCCGACTTCTTGAACAACAAAAGAATTCGTAACCACTACAACATAATAGTCCGCAGTGACAAGTCCGTTTTTCAGACGAACCCGGCAGGGTGATTACAAAGCAGCCCTCAAGACTTTTACCGCCTCATGCTGAAGTGGAAGCCGACCAACAAGGGAGTGAATCTTATCACAAATCCTAAGGGAGATGCAATAAAATGCTCAGAGATAGCTGAGCTTCTGAGCCTATAGTGCCGAGCGTAATTTGGTGCTGACACTAATTATGCCGCATTTTGATACGACAAGGAAAGTGTCATTCATATTGATCAACATGGTTTTCGGAATAGTCGTTCACACGCCCTAAACTTGCTGACTGCCTGGGACGGCTGTACCTTCTGCTGTGACAACAGAAGACCAGTACATGTCTTTTTTCCAAACCTAGCCAAAGGATCTATCTGCGATGGGCCTGTGCTCCTGCTTCACAAGATCGTCTCAGCCAGTATAGGCGGACTTCTACTCTTTTGGTCCGAGGAGCGCATAGTAGGCGGGCAGTTCTGCACCAAGGTAAACAGATTAATTTTGGAGCGAAGACCATCAACATTGGGCGTATCCAAAGAAGCAGTCTTTGGGCCACTTCCGCCCCTGATGCTGGTCAACATCCTGCCACACGAAATCTCGTCACTCATCCCCCAGTTCGCTGATATAGGAAGGCAGAGAGCAGTAAACGAAAAGGTCTACTATACGGTACTCCAAAATGACCTGAAGCAACCTGAACTTTGGTAGCCCACGAAAGGCCCAAGCTTCAGCCTGGAGGAGTGCGAAGTAATACACATCAACATCTAGTAAGCAAGGATGGCCGAATTCCACTACAATTTGGGCAACCGAGTTATCACCAAAGGATTCACGGAGACAGGGTTGCGCCTCATTTTCTAAGACACCCTGAATACCAGCTCAAACCACACAGAAATGGTGGCGACAAAGAACGCAACTTTGAGTTTTGCGTGACCTTGGTACCGCCATACGTTTAAAAAAATCCGGCTGAAAGCGATCTAAACTTTAGCACTCTAGATATTCTAGTTCACTTCATAACTCTTTGAATCTTCTGATGTTTTTAATGTAATTTAATGACCCTCCTTCTGCAGCGTTCAGCATCTTTAATCTATTATAAATTTCAAAAAAATATATCAATGTGGTGGTGCCTGAAACTGACTTTTCTAATGTTAAACTACTAGTATGAGGATAAAATATTTAGTTGTTTATTCAAATCACGCAAACAAACGGACCTTACTCGCAACATGGTGGTCATTGCGAGAAAACCTCATCACAGAGCCAAGACTGGGCCTGTGTTTAACATCCTCTCTTTAATGATGTATGTTTTATGGAATACCTTACCGTGGGATGTTGTTACTGCCTTCTCGGTAGACCCACTCAAAAGACGGTTAGGCAGTTACATCATTTCGTATAGTTTGCCACAGACGTACTCAGAGAGGTGCTACGTACTCTGGCCAACCATCATTTCCTTCCTACTTACCACACACCGTCTCTCTTGTTGATACGCCCACATTGTCTTCTAACTCCGCCCTAGCAACTAGATCCGTAATGCGAACTTTTACCTCTCAAGTAATTCCCACATAGCGTTTTCCATCATCCTGCCATTACGTTTTAGGCATAAACGGGCAGGAGTCGAGACAGATCTCTGGTCTTCCCAACAACCCGTAGCCACCCAATCACCTTACAAATTGCAACGACTAAACCACAAACCATTTAACCTCATCGGAGCCAAAATCAGGAAAGCAGAAAAGATATCCCCATTCAGTTAAACGACAAACCAAATAGCACAAGCCGATACCCAGTAACTAGATGCTAGAGATAAAAAAACTATCGGTTTTTCCACTCTTGTAATACCAATATTGAGTGCTGCTGCATTTCAGACTCAAGGTCGGTCACAGTGTATCGGAGGTAACACACAGACAATCAGTGAGAACCTCATGGTTTGAGCGTGGGACAGAGAGGCTTATCCAGGGCAAGAAGCAGGCTTGTTCAAGTGGGGCACATCACTCAGGGAGTCTGCCTTTTTGAACTACAATGGGATTCGCAACCGCTGTAACATTAGAGTGCGTAGCTACAGATTCTCCTATCAAACAAACCCGGAGGAGAGGTTACAAAGTAATCCCAACAACCTGTATCGCATCATGTCGAGAAGGAAGTCGACCAGTAATGCAGTGAATGTTATCACAGGTCATGATGGGAGTGTACTAAGCAGTCTAGAGATTGCCGAGCTCTTGAGTTCACACTTTCAAGCCCAACGTGGTACCGACACTAAATCCACACCGGCTCGTTACACCAACCAAGTCATAGATAACGAATACCTCTGCCACACCCCAGTCACAGAGAAAAAAGTGCTCGAGAAAATATCTAGGCTGCGTGCGGGCAAGTCCCCTGTCTGCGATAACCTGAAACCGATGATCCTAAAAGACTGTGCCGAGGTGCTTGCAAAACCAATCTGCAGCCTCCTTAAGCACTCGATAGAGTCGTGCAAACTCCCTAAGAAATGGAAGTGCGCCGTCTTGTCACTCATCTGTACGGGGGGAGACAGAAGGAGCGCTGGCAGCTACAAGCCAGTTGCTCTACTCCTTATTGTATCAAAAGTGTTAGAAAGCCTGGTAGCTGACACTACCTTGGAATTCCTCAGTAGGGAGGACGCTGTGCATACGGCTCAGCATGGTTTTCGGAGTGGTCACTCATGTGCCACCAACACACTAACCGCCTGAGACGACTGAACACTGAGCTAGGATAACAGAGAGCCGGTACATGTTGTATTTCTCGACCTAGCTAAAGCATTTGACAGTGTCCCACCCACAGTCCTGCTTCACAAGATCATGTCAGCTGGTATAAGTGGACCCCTACCCCCTGGTTCGAGGAGTACGTGGAGGGGAGGCATTTCTGCACCAAAGTAAGCAGAATCAGGTCAGAGTGGAGACCCTCGACGTCAGGAGTATCCCAGGGAGCGATCCTGGGACCATTTCTCTTCCTCCTGTTTGTCAACGATCTACTACACAAAATATCCTCACCCGTCCTCCTCCTCGCTGACGACATAAAACTTTGGAGGGTGGTGAGCGAAGAAGCTGACTGTACAGCACTACGAGATGACTTGCAGCAACTCTAACTATGGTAGTCGGAGAATGGCCTGAGCTTCAACCCGGAAAAGTGCAGAGTTATGCACGACCAACTTTCAGCACATGTTGAGCAACCGTGCTATCACCAGAGTGTCCACAGGGAAATATTTGGGGCTCAACTTCTCCGACGCCTTGAACACCAGTTCCAACTGCGAAGGCATGACAGCCAGAGTGAACGCCATTCTGCACTTTCTGTGGTAGACAGCTTGACGCCCTCACTCCCGAACTCTTCCTCATCATTTTCAAATCATACCTGCGGCCACGTTCATAGGTCTTCAATACGGTGGCTCTTCCAACACTCATGAGAGTCTCTAATCTCGTTGAAAGAATACAAAGAACTGCAACGAAATGAGTTGTGGGGCTAAGGGGAAGGACGTATCCTGAAAGACTTAAAGAGTTAAACCTATTTACCTTGGGTTGTCGTAGGAAGTGGGGTGACCTTACTATGGCGTACGAGATCGTCCATCAGGCAGATCACGCAAACAAATGAATTTTGCCTGCAACTCAGCGGTCTTTATGAAGAAACCCCATTAAGATGGCTTACCAGAGAGCAGACACCATTCACGGGTCCATACTTTTCTCTCTAAAAGTATGTGCTTTATGGAATCCCTTACCGCGACATATCGTTATAGCTCCCTCGGTTGACTCATTCGAGAGACGGCTAGACAGTTATGTCATCTTGTATGGTCTACCACGGAGGTATTCAGGTAGTCACCAACCTCACTAGCCCCCAACTCCCTACTAACTACCACTCACTATCGCCCTCCTTAATACACCCACATTACCCACTAATTCTTCTGTAGGAACCAAACCGACGCGGCCATTCGCGCAATTCCTAAATACTTTTCTTTCGTTCTTATTTCTCTTTTTCACCCCTCCCTTTCCTCTCCTTCCCTTTTCTTTTTTCTCTTCCGTTATTATTTTTTCTTCTGCTCTTTTTTGCTTCTTTCTTCTCTCTTCATTTTTTAACTACTACCTTGATATTCTCTTTCAGGTACCTACACAGACAGGAGTCATGGCAGTTCCATAGACTTCCCAGCAACCCATAGCTCCCCAATCACCCTATAAATTACAACTTACTAACCCACAAAACATCCCCCTCACCGAAGCTAAAAGCAAGAAAGCAGAGGGGATTTCCTTGTCCACTGCAGGGGTGAAACTAACAACTCGAACCAAGCCTTAAGAACTAGACGCGAGATATCAAAAACTACCATGTTCCTACGCTCGCACTAACAATATTGGATATTGGAAGGTGACATATTCACCTTGTGCGTTACACTTCATGGTTTAAAGTAGTTTTTTGTTTTTTAGTTTTTATTACGCTTCACAGATGATGCTAATTGCGTTGAAAACACTTTTCCTTTTTATACAAAGTTGCAATTAATCAATCTGAGACTAAAATATAGCGTTTCTACAGTTTTATATTTAAGTACGAGACACTTTTATTTTGATAGAATTACATTTTATAGGTGCTCACTTTTTAAAGTATTTTTTAAAGAACTTCAAAAGTTGGTCATATATCCGCTAACGTATTTTAAATGGATGTGTGTGTGTGATCGCGGAAAGGTCGTATTCTTAGTGTAAAAATACACATTATTGTATAGGATATTCTTCATATTAAAAGTAGTATATAGTCCGCTGTTTTTTCGGAAGTAGTTGGATGATTGACTTATTATATCTTGGTGGATGCAACAACCGACGTTTCGACAACATTAAACAGAATTCATGTAGAAACAACAATAATTTCCTATATATTATATATATTTTATATTAGTCCCTTGGGTTCCTAGTGGAACATAGGGCTTCAGTAGCACGCCTCCAGTGACCTCTGTTCTCTGAGATCTTTTGAACCTGGTTCCACGACAGCCCACAAGCTCTCATTTCCTCCTCGCATGACCTCCTCCATGTCACCCTCGGACGTCCAACTCCTCGCTTCCCATGGGGATTCCACTCGAGGGCCTGACGCGTGATGTCCTCAGTCGGCCTTCTCAGTGCATGGCCAATCCATCTCCACTTCCTCCTGCATATTTGTTGCGTGATAGGTTCTTGGTTGGTTCGTTCCCAGAGTTCCTTGTTGCTTATTTTTTCTGGCCATCTGATCTTCAGCAGCGAGCGTAAGCAGTTGTTGATGAATGTCTGTAGTTTATTGGAAATGCCTTTCGTGACGCGCCAAGTCTCTGAGCCATACAAGAGCACTGACTTGACGTTGGTGTTGAAAATCCGTATCTTGTTCCGCATGCTGAGTGCAGAAGATCTCCACACTGGTTTCAGGCTAATGAACACCTGTCTTGCTTTTCCGATTCTCACTTTGACGTCCTCGTCCGTCCCGCCTGTAGTTGAAACAGTGCTTCCTAGATAAGTGAAGGAGGTTACTTCCTTCAAGTTTCTCCCCTTCATGGTGATTGGAGTTTGTTGTTGTTGTTTATGGTGGTGGTGCGGTATCTTCATCACTTCTGTCTTCTCTATATTCACCTGAAGTCCCGTCTTAGCTGCCTCTTCTATCAACTTGTTAGTTTTTGCCTGCAGATCTTCAAGTTTGTGTGACATTAGGCATAAGTCGTCGGCGAAATCCAAGTCTTCTGGGTTCTTTTCCGTCGTCCAGTGTATCCCCCTCTTCTCGCTGCCTACTGTTTGTTGCATGATCCAGTCCACCACAATAAGGAATATCATGGGGGATAGTAGGCAACCTTGTTTCACTCCTGTCTTCACTTCAAAGGCATCACTGAGCTTCCCATTGTGGATTACTTGGCATGTGGCATCTTCATATAGTTGTTGAATGAGGCGGATAAAGGTTTGCGGTACTCCGTAGTATTGAAGCAGTTTCCAAATTACTTCTCGGTCGACGCTGTCAAAGGCCTTCTCAAAGTCGATGAAGTTGAGGTATAGAGCTGATTGCCATTCTACGCTCTGTTCTATGATGATACGAAGCGTTGCAATTTGGTCTGCACATGATTTGTACTTCCTGAAGCCTGCCTGTTCGGGTCACAGTTTTGAATCCAGTGCATCTTTAAGCCTCTCTAGGATGATGCGGCTTAATATTTTGCTTGCTCCGGGTGGACAGGAGAGTGATTCCGCGCCAGTTCTTGCAAGCACTGAGGTCTCCCTTCTTCGGCAGTTTGACAAGGTAACCCTTCTTCCAATCGTCCGGTACCTTCTCTTCCTTCCACACCTTCTGCAATAGTGGTGTGAGCATGTCCGCTGTTGTCTCCGCATCTGTTCTCAGTGCTTCTGGCTGAATTCCATCTGGTCCTGCTGCTTTCCCGCATTTCAGTAGCTTTATGGCGTTCAGGACTTCCATTTTCGTTGGGGGATTTATGTTCACTTGTAATTCAGCGGCTGCAGGTGGTATTTCTGGACGAAGTGTAGGTGGTGGTCGATTCAAGAGCTTCTTGAAGTGCTCGGCCCATTGTTTCCTCTGTTTCTCTTCTTTTGTAATTAAATTTCCTTCTTCATCTTTTATTGGTTTCATCTGTGTTGGTCTCTTCCCTGATAGCAACCTGGTTATTTGATACAATGTCGTCAGGTCTCTCTTACCTGCAGCCTGTTCTGCTTCACTTGCCAGTGTTTCGTAGAAGTGTCTTTTGTCTTTGCGTGCACTCTTCTTCACTTCTTTGTCCAGTGTTTTATACATTGTGCTCAGTTCCTCTTGTCGTTGAGCATCCTTGCACTGGTTTATCTTCTGCTTCACCATCCTCCTCTCCTCTATCAGCTTCCAGGTATCCGTCGAGATCCATTCCTTGTCTTCTTTCTTCTTCCTTCCTAATACTGTTGTGCAGGTTTCTTTCCACATAGCTTTCAAAGACTTCCAGTGTTCTTCCACACAGGTTTCTTCAGGGATGTCCCTCGATGTCTCCCATTTTGTCTTGATGGCTGCTTTGAAGATCTCCTTTGTAGTTTCATCCTTCAGTTTCCGAGTGTTGTACTTGAATTGAGGTCTATCACCAGCTTCCTTGAAGGCTTTTAACTTGATTTGGAAGGTTCCTTGCACTAGATAGTGGTCTGAACCTACATCTGCTCCTCTTCTTCACCTTGTGTTAAGTAGACTGCGTCTCCATTTTCTTGAGATTGAGATAAAGTCGATTTGATTTTTAGTGTGTCCATCTGGTGAAGTCCATGTCGCTTTGTGGATATCCTTGTGCCTGAACACACTGCCTCCAATCACCAAATCGTTGAATGCACAGAATTCTGCAAACAATTCTCCATTCTCATTCATTTCACCTAGCGCCTCTCGACCCATGGTTAGTTCTCTTCCCGTGTTGTCCCCTCCCAGTTTGGCATTCATGTCGCCCATTAGAATTTTGATATCGCCAACTGGCGTCTTGTCCAGTGTTGATTGAAGTTGTCTGTAGAATTCCTCCTCCTTCTCTTGCTCTGCATTATTTGTAGGTGCACAGCATAGCATTGTATGATTGTGACCTTCCTTCCTTTTGAGTTGAATCTTGCTGTCATGATCCTGCATGAGGAGATTGGTTCCCACTGCATGAGAGCCTTTGATGCTCTTGAGGACATCATGATAGCCACTCCCTCAGTGTGCTCGTGGTTGTCGTCTGGGTGAGATTATCGGAGTAGATTATTGATTCTCCAGTTGACAGTTTGGAGAGTCCACTCCCATTCCATCTGCTTTCGCAAATCCCAAGCACTTCGATGTTATACCTTCTCATCTCCTTTGCAATCTGGGCTGCCTTACTGGGTTCAAACATGGTGCGGACATTCCATGTCCCCACGTTTACTTTCGCTTTCATCGAGAGAAGACACATCGGCCAATTGGCTTCCCGAAGGCTTTCACCAACTGGCGTCATTTCGCCTCTCCGATTCCAGCGGGGAATAAGTTTGTTTTCATTTTTTATATTTTGTTTGTGCTTTGAAGTTTCTTTAGCGGTTAGATTTGTTTTACGGGGTAGGGTTGCTAGCCCTATGCCCAACCTTCCCTCTTTACCCGGGCTTAGGACCGGCTAGTAACTAGTAAACTAGTTAACCAGGCGAGGTTACTCTTGGTGATATGGCTAAAAAATCGGTCACAGCGATACGCAGATGTATTCATTCATTGACATCTAAAGCCTAAATATTCACACCTTTATCTTCAGATTGCTTATTCTTCCACACTACCTTACCTTCTTTGACCCAATTTTTTCTGTCCGCCTGTTCTTTGTTTACTGGTGTGGTGTAGCAACTTGAGACGATGCATTTGTGTACAAGGTTCTACGTTGATTTTATCAGTCAAACAGCACTCGACTCCCAACCAATGAGTCATAGAATCGAAAGTCGCTACACCTACAGAGGGCTAATTATCTTGGTAGCATCACTAGCTTTCACATTACGTGTGACTCATTGCATACTGCAAAAACATGAAGGTGGTTACTGAGAAGATTTCGGTTTATTGCATGGATCTACGTGTGATTTTTGAGTCGCACCGCATTCCTCAATCCGACCAAACTGCTGGTCTTTTTTTGCATACATTTGTTTGTTTCTGTATGACAGAATATCTACTTATGTTAGTTTTCCTTTCTTCATGTCGTCGTAACGACTGAGTTATCGTTGCTGAATAGCTTTCCGCCTTTATGAAACAATTCACCGACTAGTTCAGCAAATAATAATAATCATAGGATTAGCAACAATTTTATTGCCAAAATGTTTGATACAATTTCAAATTCTCAGCATGTGATACTGGTTCGAATCCTGCGGCGGCCCAAATTTTCATTTCACCTTCAATCATCACTCAGTATCAATACAAGTCTGCCAAACCACGGCTATCCCAGGTAGTCAAAAGGATAAAAAATATATTCCTCTACAACATTTCGAAGTGTTAATTATAGTGATTTAAACTGTGTAAATATTATTATTAACGAGGCAAAGTATACAATAATGGGTAAATTATTGGAAAAAAATAATTATTTATAGTTAGAAAGTTGATAACAGAGTTCTATTGTTGTTTTTTTTTTCCCGACCGATAGCTGCTACCTTGACGTGGTGGTCGGGCTTGCATATCACAATGACCCAACGAGCTATGCTGGTGGAACGCTTGTTCCCTCGAGGTCCTACCATACCAGAAAGGTCTGTTGGGTAGTGGTTAGACGAAAAGCAGTTACCGTCATAGTGTAAATTGCTACACTATGATGGGGGTCTGAGGGCGAAGTCGTACTGCTGCTAGCTGGATGGGGTGTGACAGCAGTAAGGTGTTTCCCTTGGATGACCAGCAGTGCCAAGCTGATGCTGCCTTCTCAGTGGAAGGGGGGGTTAGAAAAGGTCGGCCCCAAAAATAACACACTCC